TGAATTCATTTCAAGCATCCGTTTATCTGGACAGACAGGATGAAAAGCGAGAAAACAAAGCAGAGAAGGCAAGTAAGCCAACTCGTTTTTATAATGCTGAAGACATGTCATTGAATAAGTTAAGTGGTACACACGTGATGATATAAAAAGTCAAGATTGATCAGCGAACAATTGACAAGATCTAAATGTGAACCAAGATGAATAAGTCAGTGTGTCTGGAAGCTAGAATAACCTATGTGTGGGATTGATATAGTAGTAGACACTAGAAAAATTAAAATAGCAATTAGGTGAATGTAACACAACAACACAAAACAATTGCTTTTAAATGCCATATGAAGTCCATACTATAAGCATGATTGGTACATACATTAACACTGATTTCTCAACTAAAATTAATTTACTAACTAACCTGAAAACACTTTTTATATTATTACAAATAGGCAATGTTATCAAAATGCTTTGGAGATACAAGTTTAACTAAAATATGGCTAGGAGGGACTGCAGACCTAATGAATCATCAGTATGTTGTTTTGCGGTGGTTAGACCGAACAGCTTTCAATTACCGCCGGTTCCCAGATACAGATGGGGGCCATTGGCAGAAAATCCTGAATAAGCACCAGGGTTGTATTATTGGTAACTTGAAAAGCAATGGTCAGGGAGAATGGGACATTCAAGCTATGCGATGTGATGAACCGAAAGAGTTCATCTGCAAAGAAACAAACTTAGGTCACCAAAATAAACCATGGGATACTGAAAAGTCAAGACGTGGTTATGTACCCCAAGAAACACCGTTTAATAATCGCTATAATCAACCCCCATTCGGTATTCTTTCATTGAATGGAGATATGTATCAACCGAAAATACCAGAAAGTCCGAAAAAGTCAATAATTGCTCACGTATCCAATGTACAGACAGTAATACCGACAACAGATAACACAGAACAACAAGTGAACCGAATCGCATTAATTCAGAAAAAAATCAATAACACCACAATCAAGAAAGTTAATAGTAGTGAGCCCAAATACTACGTAATCCCGACAAAAATACCAAATAACATGACCGAATCACAAGTAAGTACAATGAGTACATTAGAAAATAAGAAAGTGAAATTCGTTATCATCAAATCAAATGGGCCAAAAACAAGTCCTGAAGAAAATAATAATAATAATAATAATGATAAAAAGTCAGATCAAAGTAAAGAAACAACCTCAGAAAAACAATCTGGACCAGTTACAATTTATCTTCAAGGTGTTTCGGTTCCAGAAAACTAGTTTAAGAAAGAAGTCCAATAATATTTTCTTTTTAACATTTTCACCTGTTGATTGTTAACAATGAAACTGTATTGGTTATGATGAATACTGTTTAGATAGGATTGGTTTAAATTTAATTTTTATTAGGTTGATTGGCAAATAAAGATTTTCATTACATTTGATCGTTTTACTGACGTAAGTTTTATGCACTGCAAGCATGGAACACGAAATCAGATTCGCTTAATCATAGAAACAAAGTCTACCAGATATTACTTTTATATCTTGCGATGAAAGGCGTTGTTTACGAGATAATCTATCTTGAAAATAGAGTAAGATTACGACGTAACATTAGTTATAATACTAAGCAAGAAACCATAAAGAAATCAGAACAGCCTAGTAGTTCCAGCCAGTTGGTTACATGAAAAGTGCTAAATTCATTATAAGAATAGTTCCATCTCATTTTGTCACTAGTTAATTCTTTCGTGGATAATTTAAGACCAGAACCACCAAGAACAAATTTCTATGTTAAAATCAATAGCAAGTAATTTGGTCCTACATAAAAATAAGAGTTCTCATAGATCGTATGCTGGTCACATCAACAGATAAAGTTCGACTCAAATATCAACAAAACTGATTTTGCTTTCTGCTAAATGATGGATTAGAACACTGGAAATGACTTCAATATGATCGCTTAAGATAATAGGATAGCTCCTTCTTTCTATTGTTTATGTTAAATCAAGTGGTTACCTGAAATTACGAAAGAGTAGATTATATTTACACTGATGTTTTGATAGTTGGCTTTTAAATGACTGAACAGTGTCTTATCGGCTATAAGTACCAACTTTTAGTTTACCGACGGAAAAATTAACTATCTACAGTTAGACGTTGTACGTGAATCGCATTATATAAAAGTCTATTCGGGAACAAGACTGATTTGGTAAGATTTCTTTTGGGAGATTTCATTCTTTAAGTTGTACAGCCGCATATATGTTCATATAACAGCGATTAAATGAATATAGAAAGGAAAAACAAATAAACGTACAGAAATTTCATTTGTATTTAGGGGTTCAGTTGAAAACTAAAAAGAGTAATAATTATGAGATTGTATTCAGTAATGTAGTTAAATAAGTGAAAATTAAGATATCGAGTACTTTTCTTTCGTACATCAAGTCCTGGTTTCACGGTGTATAGAGAAGGTTAAAGTAAGATATCTCACAGATGACCAAACAATGGGTCTGTCTTGGTTGTATCGGTTGTCGTGATAAGACGTTCTATGATTGAGTTTCTAGTCCGACTGTAGTGAACGAGAACTCAGATGAAGGAAACCAATTAATTGTTTAGTACAAAATCACTCGGTTGCTTAGACTATTGTCTATTATATACTCCATTATTCTTCTAATCTCGATGACTCTCCGCTTTCCTTCCTCTTCTCTTCATTTTAATCTTCTGCTGGCAGGCATTCCACTTCCGACTGCTGTTATATACTACTTATATCAATCGACATAAGCAGATTACATCATACAACCACTAACCCGCTTCCTTAACCATGTAGCGTAGAGCTTTTTTTAACCCTCCTGCACAAAATGCGCACTGAACAACCATTACAACTTGCCTAACATGAATAGGTGCACTGATAAACACACAGAGAACAAGTGAAACGCCATAATTTGTCTTTTGGGCTGTTGATAATTATGCGTTGGCTGGAGAACAGCACCTTCATTTTTATTGTTACACAATGTCGTCAAGTGACTATTTCATGTATGTTATCTGCGTAAGCATTTTTGTAACATGGATTATTGTTAGTTAAGAAGCAATAAGCGATTGGTTTTGCATGCAAACAATACTTTTGTTATCTGCGATCATAAATCCAATTTGAATAATGTTTTAAATATGTAGTCTATAGCTGTTACCTATCGATAAAATTTACCCTAGAGTAGGAAAATGAACCTAGCTCCGGCTTCCTTAATGTTAGGATGAAGAAAACCTGATGGAGCGTTTAACTAACAATCAGTTATATTAAATATACATTACAAAAGACTAATCTAAAATATTCTACTACACTACGCTTATTAGACAGGTATCCAGTTCGTAAACAATAATTAAGGAAACAATGGAGTAATTCTATTGAGATAATATAGGCCGCCGACAGATTTCATAGAACACTTCCCGATAATGAACAAATGATCAATTATGAAAACAGGCTACTTGATCATCAGATTACCCTATCAGAAGTCCCGAATAACTGTCGTAACGTTTTAACTCTATGAAAATGTTCATAGAAAATAAAAGGTTATGTATTGCACAAAGAATTACAATACCCCTCTCGTATGAAGATCAACTAATTTCAAAAAGTGACACTTGACTATGTGAAATACTCACGGCATAAAATGCTTACAATCATATTCACCAAACAAACTGTTGTGTCTACTTAAAAATGCAAAAAAATGTAGTTTCATGTATCACCATTAAGCCAAATGAATGAAAATTTATATTCCTCGATTATCAATTTTGAATATTTACAAAAATAAATCACTATCACATTTGGAGGACAGTTATTTGTTATTTGATTTGAGTATAGTTATCCTCAGTGGTATAATCCACGATAATTTATGCTCTCAACTTGGTTGCCTATTTATATTAATGAATGGTACAAGGAGGTACCAAATAGATATGCGCCACATAAATCATTCGATTTGTGTGAAGGCTGGGATACTACACGGGTGCTCAGACCGAAGCAGGTGGTTTACTTAGGGGGTCACACCCGGAGCCTTCGACCTAAAAATCTGATCCACAAGGCAGTGGAGCAACGTAAGGAAATGCAATCACAGGTAGCCGGTTACCAACAATAGGTTCATACACTATTCGTTTCTTCAGGATACTGGAGCCAACCCATGTGCACCACTGGTTTGGAATTAACGTTTTCCAACTCCCCTAGGTGGACTCTCCGTGTCCACCAACACGGTTAAAGCGCCCGACATTAATTAATTGCGAAACAAAATTAGAAATTTCTTATGCAGAACTGTAATGCCCCGATAGGCATAATGAATGGTAACTTTTGGGATTCATTTATGGACCAACACTATGTATATATTTTATCGTATAGCTGTTAAATAACTAAACTATTCATATTCATGTCCCTCTTATTATGAGCTTGATTTTGATCTATGAACTATTATTATACGACTAACCATTTTCGAGTTATATCCAGTCTATCAATCACTATCTCCCACACTCACAGCCACATTTGGCCAAATTATGTATAAATGTTGTTCCCTATTTTTATTGGTACGATATGGTCTGTCTGGTTAGTATATAAACCCAGTATGTTTGAAATATAATGATTCATATTGGAGAAGCTGAGATTGGTGTTCTGGACATAACTAGTTGGACTAGGCACAAAGCAGGGTCAATAGGAACTCTAGACTGCTCTCACGGGTTTTATGCGTCATTAATCCAGTTGGGTATCATTACGTTATACATTAGCAGGACACTTAGGCCACAAGTTATAACAAGAACAAATTAAAACAAAGCACAATCATGTACAAATGTATTTTTTTTAAATAATTTACAATAACAAATACCACTGTTTATCAACGTATAAATCATTCATATTCAGTCAATACAGCTTGGCATTATCTTTTCCCAAAGGTCTGTATATCATGAACAGGGGTATTTCAAAATAACACCAGTTTGGTAATAAACAAATTTTTTTTTAAAAAAACTGATCAAAATTACAATCCAAAAAGTCTGTTAAGCATCAAATACACTAACAAGACAAAACATAAGTCGACATGTACAATAAATTACAATACTAAGGAATACTGCATTTGCTAAACAAGTTAATTCTAACCGTACATCATTCCATGTTTCTAATCGACCAAATAATAAACATAATATAAAATGTAGAAGACCAGTTCGTCGTTTACGTTTTGATGAAATAGTTTTACGTTTAATATTAGATTGTGATAAATAAGTAGGTAAATGATTAGTTGAATGATAATCAAGTGTATAACAATTAGGATTATTTGATTTATAATGACTAATACTTGTCATACAACTTAAATTGTCATCATCAGATCGACAAGATTCAATCATTTGTTGTTGTTGTGATGGTGGTGGTAGTGGCGGTGGTTGTTGTTTCATTGGATTGTAACGAGTTGAATATAAATTAGAAGATGTAAATGAATGTCGAGAATTCACATTCGAGTATTGAGAACTAATAACACTAGGAGAAATATTATTACTACCAGAACCACCACCACCACCGCCACCACTTAGAACAGACGGTCGAAATATATTATCATATTTATTTGTTGAATATAATTTTGTATCAGCCAATTCATCTTCAAGAGATTTTCTACTTGAATTTAAAGAGTTCATTGTACAATTTGTAGAATAATGACTTGGTGTTGAATAATAACTTATACTATCAATTGATTGAAGACATGGTAATTTAACATCACTAGGCCAAGTATCTTTTAGTTCTTTCTGTTGTGACATACAATCTTTAAGAAAGAATGATAACCATATTCTAATTCCATAAATAATAATAATGAATGAAATAAACAAAACAAATACACCTAATAGTGTAATATGAGTAAATGAAGTAGTAGACCATATCATACTATTCATTAGATTAAAACTATCATTATTTACTGAAGATGATGATAAGAGAATATTCAATGAAATTAAAAGCATTGAAATATCATACAATAAGACTAATGATTTTAAACCATCATAATACATTGAATAATGTTTGTTACCATGCTTTAAACTAGTCATAGCAACAAGTGTTATTTGTAAACAAAACATTAATAAATTAAACCATAATTGACCAATATTAGAAAGAGAGAAATGTTGTGAATAAGTCAATATTTCAGTACAATATCTTCGTGAATAAGATCGACAATGATTAGACCAAAATAATTCAACAAATTTATATAGATAAGACTTATTCGTTGTAATATGAATAAGGCATGTTTGTCTACTGATTTCAATTAGAAGTGGACCAGTAATAATGGATATGAAACATAAGATACTAATAATACGTAAGACAATTAATAATTCAAACCATGCAATAGTTTTACGATAAGTTTTTAATGAATTAGAATTTTTAGTCAGAGAAATTGTTCGTTGTTTATTATGCCACCATTCAATGAAACTTGGTAATAATTTACAATCTAACTGTTAGAGAGAGAGAGAAAATACAATGAAATAATTAAAAGAAAAAAGTCCAGTAAAGTAATTGTCATCTAAATTTGTATTTGTTTATTAGTTCATTTAAACATATAAACATTGGTACAAGGAGGCACAGAGTATATATGTGCGTGGGCTGTGTTAATGCCCGGGTGCCCGAACCGAAAAAGGTGGTTTTCTCTGGGGGTCCCACACCCGGAGACTTCGATCTAAAGGTTTGATCCACAAGGCAGTGGAGCAGCATAAGGAGATACAGTTTCATGGTAGCTGGTCACCAAGAATTGGTTCATTCATCATTTGTTCCCTTAGGATACTGGAGCTTATGTACACCACTGGTTTGGAATCAAGGTTTTCCAACTCCCCTAGGTAGACTGTCCGTGTCCATCAACCAGGTTAAAGCGCATGACATTCGTTTTTCGTCTTCTCAATTTTGTAAACAACAATAATGCCGCGAGAAGGCAGTGAGTAGGACATCCCTGGCAGCGGTTGTATGCACGTGGTCATGTGAGAGCATTTCGAGAGGGAGAGCTGACTCTTCCCACTCTCAGACGTACCAGGGCATTTGTGTGTTCAACACTTTAGTTACTGTTCTGTTTATTTAATGGGCGAGTGTTACATATTACTGCAACTGTAAATTATTTCATTTAAAATAGCTGGAGTTATCCACAGCTATCTGCTATGAACATGTCCATGTAGCGCAATTGTCATACCAATCCAAAGCCACAAGTGCAGTGAAAGCGAGGGGTTGCATAAAACGAAATTCCGAACCAACCATACTTTAATATGCAGCCTGCTTCGGTTTCGGCACCCGGACAGTATCACAGCCCTCACACATATCGAATGAGATTTGTGTGGCGCATATGTATTTGGTGCCTCTTTGTACCAATATCTATGTGTTGAAATAAATAAATAATAAATTAATATGCAGCACTCATCTACTGAGCCAAAAAATAATAAAAGGTACTGGGAAAGGTACACTTATAAATTGTTGTAGGTAACTTAGTTCTTGAGATATGAATTTATATGACTATTTTTATCATTATGCATCAGTATAGCTACCGAAAATCCTCTCACTTTAATACCAACCTTGAATCCTAACGCGAAAGTTATATTACTGGGTATAATAAGCAATTCAACATGTAAACATTCAACAATCATATCAAATCTGTACATACACTAGAATTTTATTACTTTCTTATCATAAATTGTTTTAAGACTAAATGTCACCTTTTGATTGGTCGGTATGTTATTCACAGATCATCGCAGTAGTTTACTTCTACCGAAACTCCTACAAAGGCCTTGATACACCGAAACCTCTTCTACTATCGAACACCATAGTTTTATTCAAAGAATACTTCACTTATTGGAACCTGTCAAATAGGTGGATGATTAACATAGCATATGTCCAGACAATCTAACCGTATTAATCTGACACAACCAGCACTAATGTTAGTACACCACAAAGCTGTAGTAAGGCAAATAGAAGTGCAAGTGAAACTGTCAGTTTTATTTCAGCTTGAAAGCACCGTAAAAACGAACAAGTCATAACAACGATACTACATAAAAATTAGAAGCTTCAGAACAGTTCTTATTTATTTATTTATTTCAACACATAGATAATGGTACAAATAGGCACCAAATACATATGCGCCACACATATCTCATTCGATATGTGTGAGGGCTGTGATACTGCCCGGGTGCCCAAACCGAAACAGGTGGTTTTCTTAGGGGGCCACTCCCCGAGCCTTCGACCTGAAGGTCTGATCCACAAGGCAGTGGAGCATCGTAAGGAGATGCAGTCCCATGGTAACCGGTGACCGAGAATTGGTTCATACGCCATTTCTTCCTGCAGGATACTGGAGCCCATGTGCACCATTGGTTTGGAATCCGGTTAAAGCGCCGGACATTCGCTTTTCGTCCTCTCATTTTCGTAAACAACACCCCCGCCACGAGAAGGCAGTGAGTAGGACTTCCCTGGCAGAGGCTATATACGCGTGGCCGTGTGAGAGTATTTCGAGAGGGAGAGCGCACTCTCCCCACTCTCGGCCGTACCAGGGCATTTGGGGGCCCAGAACAGTTCAGGCGCTGAGAAGCCAATTATAAGCTTGCACAGATGAACAGTCATCGAAATTTCTGTTTTATGGGACAAAAGTAATGCGGTAAAACACGATCTAGTCTCAAACTATTTTAATCTTGACATTTGTCAAGAAAAACAAAAGTAAATAAAGTAGGATAAAGCGGGGAATTTCAGTTGTAGCTCTTAGTCTTATCCCTTCGAAGGCAAGTTGTTCTAGTATTTTATGAATTCGCAGATTGTTGCTTTGCATTTGATGAATTTATTCAGGAACTACAGTAACGTGTTTTCAACGAGGAATGCTCATATGGAACATTTTAATAGCCGGAAAATTGGGATAGTTATGATTGAGACTAGTAAGCTCATGTCTTATAATTTGACAACTGATTTTAATGCACTTTCTTATTCAATAATGCAACACAGGAGGCTCAACATTCGAGGCTGTCGCGGCGGTATGCTTTAATAAACTAAACCTTAAAAATCCAGGTACTTTAAAAAGTGACGAAATGAATATATACTTAATTTGTTAAAATGAAAAACAACGTCCCTAAAGGTCATCCTATTTGGCGACCGCCCGAAAACATCTGGTTCCTTCAAAAACAAACCACCAATTATTTACAGTTCTCTGCATTGCACTTACTGTTAGATAAAGGGATACAAATGGGTGGGAGGTTTTACCCTCACAAAATGACAGTAAAATCATAACCGTTAACAGTAGTTATTAAAATAAATTATGAAATTTGAATGACCTCAATGCAATATATATGCAATAAAAAATTGCAACCTTACCTGCCTAAGTTTATTATTAACTTTTTGATAGCAACTTGAACACAAACCATATTCCAACTCCAGCAGGCGAGTGTATTCTTTGATTTCTTCATCCGACTTGTCATTTTTCGGGGTATACTCCGACAACTTTTGGACAATAGTATTTTGATTACGTGTACAGTCCGGGCACAATACATCAGAATGTGATGAAAACGTACCGTGAGCCTAAAGAGATCAAGGGTAAATATAGATCTTACCTTATTGAAATTAACTGGATTTAACTCGGCAATGAACTGAGATGGTATAACTTTGTTGTAATCACCATCACTTTTAAATCCATTATACTGACCACATTGTTGACAAACAAACGATGTCTTTCTACTCCATGATGTGAAGGCAGTATGTCCACAAAACCAACACTGGACTTTCAAATAAAAAAACCTGACTACTAAAACAGTGAAGGTACTAAAAAGTCCCAGACACAATGCTAAAACCAACATCCTGAAATATAATGAGAAACTAGATTCTGTGTGATAGATGATCGATCAACCAATTGTATAACCTTGTGACCAGAATTAAACTGTTTGCATAAAATAAAAGAAACAACCATCAACTCAGTTTCATAAAAATAACTTAGAACTTCGGTAGGTTTATGTCAAGTTTTTGTTTGGAAAGGACAGATAGCTCGTGTTATTCCTGGGAATAGTGGTCTCGGTTGATCTACCTTTCGAAAACGTCGAAAAAGCTTCAAACACGTATTGAGTTAGGGAGTTCCATTCCCTGATGATTCGATAAGAAAGTCGATAATCAGATGAAGTTTTAGTGTCCTCGTGAATTCTGTATTAGAAAATTAAAAAAATGAAGGCTTATCAAACGCAAATTTATCGTGAATTTGAAAACTATGGTCAATTCACCTTTGATCGTTCTATTAGACAAAGGAAATGGGACTAGTTTACCTCGTTTTTTGTCATACAGGAGCTTTTAGGTCCTGGAAATCAGCTTAGCTACAGTTCTTTGAACCTTTTACAACAGCCCGTTGCATTTTTTAAGCAGGGGCTAGCTGCTCGCATGCGATTCACAAATTTAGGACGAACTAACACTGAATATGAATTCAAAAATCTTTTAGTATCGAAATGGCTCAGTGGTCTATGTATTGAACATATGGTTATAGAACCTTTTTTCAATTACTGCAGGATAGTATGCAGTAGTTACTAAGTCTTGGCTAACGATGACTACTAGGTCGTTGTATTTGGACAACAGGTAACTCAATGTTATTCACGGTGTATGTATCTTCAATCTGATGACCTATTTACACCGTAATGCACTACAACGCATTTATAGGCAACAGTTAAGTTTTAGACTATTCACATAATTTCTGCAGGTCATTATGAAGCTCAAAACTGTCACTATTTTTTTGTCGCTCTCCAAATTTTGGTATCCTCCGTATATAACAAAACAGATAGACTAGGAAAGTTACCTGTATACAGTAGAAACAACATTAGCCCCAAAACTACACTGAGGCACTCTGCCAAAGTCTCATTGCTGAACAACTTGGGACAAACCCGTATTCTATGTTGACGCCCAACTAAGAAATTTATTACCAACACATATAAGTTGCCTTCGGTGCCAATATTACTTGGCCAACATTTGATTTTCAGGAGCGAACCAGTACTCAAGGGCTACTAGTAAGTTTGCGAGACATGAATGACCTGTTATAAATCAGTGCTGCTTTTTAGGAAGAATCCGATTTTCGTCTAAACACTCAAATAACTCTCGAACAATCCTTTGTGACTGAAAGTAGTTCAATTAAAGTAAAAACAGTAGTCTCGGTGTGTTGAAGTCGATTGAAACTATAAATTTAACTCAGTGAGGAGAAATACCGCAAGGTACGTCATGAGACGGTTCAGCAGGAGAGTTGTAGCCGTTTGTGTTTAGCCAGAAGGTACTTTGTACAATCGGAGCATGCAGAGTAGCATGGGCGAGGACTGGAATAAGTGAAAGGAAAAGGTAAGTCGACAACACAGCAAGCGTATACAATGCACTTGCTTTTATTAAGGAGAATAATAAACAGCAACCATCAGTAACATAAGCCTCAAATTATGGTGATCCTGGAACCGAAAGTAGAAGCACATGGTTTAACCGCTAGAGAGTATAACTTCAAACGAGTCACAAGGTCGCGGCGGTTTGTAGCTAAAATCAAAGACCTGGGTTGTTCATAAATGACAGAAGTCGAAGCATGGTTTACGGTCTTAGCAATTTTAACGATTCAAATTCCATCGTTTTGTCAATTTAATTTAGTCCTGTCAAGTTAAAGCATCCTAAAGAGTAATAAATAAATCAGTTCTATCAACACACAAAAATTATGGAGCTCCTGATATGCGACGGACAACACGACTACTTACTACCCATAAACTTCTTTTCATCCCAATAGCAAGGTTTCGTAGAAAGTCACTGTCGTATAACCAATCTGCTGACAATGGTGGAAAGATGTATGCAACCAAGAGGATAAAGTGGCACTTCTGAATGATCTGACTTAACATCACAGTTGGGCAGATAACGACGGACTTACCTTTAATACTTTCAGATGTAAAGAAGTTCATCCGAGACATGTTGCAGACTACGAATACAGCTCAGGCAACTCCTTGCTAGAGGTACTCAAAGATGAAATGATCTAGGAGTGTTGGTACCCTGCGATCCGAAGTCTTACGCTAACTGCGACAAAAACGCCATTCCAGTAAACCTTGCACTGGTAACATTGAAGATCACTTTCGGCCATTTCGATGAAAGGACTTTCAACTTAATCTTCAACGGTTTTATTAGAACACATTTAGAGTACCGAAACGTAACATTTCCTCCCTCACTAGAAAAAGATGAGGAAACTCTGGAACTTATCCAACGGCTAGCCAAGAAATCAGTTCGGGAACTCAAATTCAAGTCTTGTGATGAGCGCCTCCAGTCTCTAAACCTTTTGCCCTCATAGTACGGGCGTTTAAGCGACGACTTAAAGCAACCTAAAAACTTTTGGGCATCCCCTCAAACACCTATTCAAACTTAGTCACAACATAAACCTTAGGGGTGACACCCAGAAACTAGAGACTCAAAACAGCATAACGGACTGTAGACGCCATTTCTATTCCTTAAGAGTAGTTAAATGTTGTCATTCGCTGACGACTTAGCTAGTCCAAGCGATTTCGCAGGACACCTTTAAGAGAAAACTTGACATATGCTTGAGGACTAAGGATGGTATTTCACCATGATTTACTAATCGTTTTCTTTTTTCTCCCTTATCGTTAATATATCTAGGTTCTTACTTAGAGATATTGGTAATCCACTGCTATTGGTTATGGAAGCCCGTTAAGTGGAAGCTTCTTCTATTGCGTTCAGAACAATATCAGACCTCTTTGGGAGGAAAACCTTGAACGTTTGGTTGCATTAGATTCCACTATTTCTAAATGACTGATTAAATTTATAAAAACAGAGTGAGGGTGAAAGCAGATTTGAATTATACGGTATTTATCTTGTTTCGAAATTTTTAAACTGTGTCTAGTTCCGTCCTCATTACCTGGATAACTACATTAGTTCTGGCTGCAATTGTCTCAACAGAGTACAATTCACTCAAGCTAGATAATTACGATTAGAAGTTCTCAATGTTCAAAAAGGAAAAAGCAAGATTCTCCGATACAACACAGCATGCACCAATCCAATCTCAATTGATGGAGAAGATTTGGAAAATGTAAAAACATTCATATCTGGGCAGCATCAGTGATGAGCACGGTGGATCTGATGCAAATGTGAATGCGCGGATCGGAAAAGCAAGAGCAGCATATTTACAATTGAAGAACATCTGGAACTCAAAACAATTGTCAACCAACACTAAGGTCAGAATTTTCAATACAAATGTTAAGACAGTTCTACTGTATGGGGCGGAAACCTGGAGAACTACGAAAGTTATCATCCAGAAGTTACAGGTGTTTATTAACAGTTGTCTATCGAAAATACTTTTGGTCCGCTGACAAGACACTATCAGCAACAACCTACTGTGAGAGATAACAAACTGGGTTCCAGTAGAGGGAGAAATCAGGAAGAAGTATTGGAAGTGGATAAAACACACATTGAGGAAAGCATCCAACTGCGTCATAAGGCAAGCTCTCGATTGGGATCCTCAATGTCAAAGGAGAAGCGGAAGACCAAATAAGAACGCATTACATCGAGAAATGGAGACAGATATGATAACAATGAACAGCAGTTGGATAGAACTAGAAAAGAAGGCCGAGGACAGAGTGGGTTGGAGATCGGTGGTCGGTGACCTATGCTCCATTAAGAGTAACAGGCGTAAGTAAGTAAGTAAGTAAGTAAGTAAGGTGACTCAGTGTCTTTAGTTTACTTCCCTATTGTTAACTGCAGCGAGCGGTTTGATTATTTGCGTCACAGACCCTATAACATTTTTAGTTGGAGCGTACGCCTGATACTCTCGTTCCACATAGCTGCTTGAAGATTTTATATTTCTGTTGAGTCTTACATTTTTTCCGTTTGTTTCTATCTTAACTACAATCGACGAATGTATCTGATATTCTGCGTTACGAAAAATTGCTCACCTAGAAGGATTTATGGACACGCACATCAGGTTATCGGCAGATTCATTACGATATACCTGCAAAGTCGTACAGGTAGATGTTCTACATCTTCAGGATGTATGGCATGAGTACGTTACGCAGGTGATAGGAACAAAAGGGTGGAGATATTCTAGATTTGACAGTCGAGAGATTCTGGTATGATGACGATTCAAGAGTGATATTCTAAAATAGATAAAGGGAAATTGATGATGATGAGGAGGAAAGACACAACTCGACAGAGCTAGAGAAAGATGAACCTGTGGATGCTAAATTGACCATCTAGAGCTGGGTGTTCATAAAAATTGTGAAGGAATTTGAACAAGATATTTGACCTAGCTCGTTAACGAGTAATATTAACGAACAATTAATAGGCATTATCACTGTCGAATGCCTACATAGACATTTGTTTAGAACGCCTATTTACCATGACATATCCCCAAAAACAATTCGGAATCAAATGAGCTGGCTGTTGAGATTTGATATTCTGATGGCCTGATAACTTTAGCAATACACAGCTGTCTTCACCGATATTTAAATGCTGCATGATAAATCGAACAAAAATTTGACGTGGCTCCTTTGCGAACCCTTTCGTGCGAATGGTTACCCTCCCCACGTTCTATTGGTAGAAGTGATTAGACTGGTGGTGAATGTTTTTCTTTAGATACTGGATGTTTCATTGGAGCGTGAGGTTATCTTTTAAAACACACAAAGCTTTTCAACATTAGATATAAAACAATAGAAAATATAAAACCTATACAAAGTAAGGGAGCGAATGAGAACTTGAGCCATAATATTCTGAAATTTACTTGAACGTTTGATGTCAACCCTTAACAAATCAACTTAAGTTGTTATACACTTACTATTTACCCTTTTATTTCCAGTCTTCCTGGAAAATGAGGTTTGTGGGTAGGTGTTGAGATATAGTTTTCGTAAGTGTTCGTGAACTCGTTTAGTGTATATCAGTAAAGCTTGTATTAAACGTTCTAACAGTGGTAAGCTGTGGAAGTTTTCATTGCCCAAAAATTATAGGTTTTGAACAGAACATTTCAGTAAATATGAAAATTCCCTTGATTCATTTACAACCATTTATTAGAAGCGTTATAGTAATACTTGTGTGACATAAAAAGCATCAGATACATGCGGTCATTCTTAATTCATTGTGTCTGTTTCATGGTTTATGTATGCCACTTTTATGTCTGTTACAAACCGTTATGTAACCTAATGTTTGATGACCATTGCTTGTTCCCGATTCTAAGTGGACAGAGATTTGTAGATTAGTCACATCGTGACTACCTAATCTAAAAGATCTTACGTAGAAGTCACATTATTCTCCACACTGATTCGAGATGCACTTGTATCGGCTTTGACCAAACCAACTGCCAACGCGGTTAAAGTTTTGGGACCACTGACATTTGTTTATTCTTATTGAAATTTCTAAATCTTTTACTTTGCATCCAAATTTACGCTTTTGAGGAATAAAGCAAAACAAAAGAACCAACATTTAGGAGCAACAATGTTGTTTATTAATGACACTGACTTGCACACTTCACGTACCTTTTAAACTGAAGAGTAGTTGTGGCTAATAAATATTAATGTCAAAGACAGTCTTCTTAGTCCAAAATTTTGAAGAAAAAGTTTCCAAAGTGTAGTTAAGTCTTAGTTTTCGTTGACTGTACGTCGACAGCGACACCCAATTCACAGGAGTTTAATGAATCAAATGGTACTTAATCTTGTGTTAAGGCCTACAATAAACGGCATGTATGTTTGCAAACATTTAGTTATCCAAATACCAGCATTTATGCAAAGTGATACTGATTTAAAGTACTTGAAAGAGAGCATCGTTTACTTCATCCACTTTTTGAGTGCATTTTACGTACCGTCTACAAGGCTAACCAAAGACAAAATCGTCCATCAGCAGAATCTAGCGGTAAATAAATCATCAAAACAAATATCTCTGTAAGTCTTCGACATTGGATGCTGACCACATTAGTTTTAATGGACTCACCTAGCTGAAGGAGCTTGGTCATGCATCCGCACCAGATCACGAGTGCAAACGCCGTGCTCAACATATCCTGCAATAGTTAGGCAGCCTAAATCAGTCGAATCTCGATAATATTGATAGCATATCCAATATATATATATGAACCTCCTCGCCTGTCTTTGGATTTCACTTGGTGGGTACGGTTCATAGTAGAAGATATTACTGGTTAAAGCCTTGTCAAACTCCAAATACATGTGGCATCTTCAAGGACTTATATTGACAACAACATTCTTTCGACTCCAAATGTTTTGCCACCCTAATACACTATCGTAAAAATCTTATCATCTTTAGAATTATAAAAATGCTAAGCAAATGTTTAAAAGCTTTATGATATCAACACGGCTGTGTTTGCAAAATGTTATGAAACCTACGAATCGTTGATGATACAAATATTTCTAGTGTTGGCGAAAGTTTAACATTCCCCTGTCATTCCTCTGAAATAACCAAACATTCATTCTGCCTTATACTCCAGCCTTTTATCAGTTCAGACATGTTGCACATCACGGCACACTGCACTTTATTTCAGTGGTCAGTCTTAATTGTATTTAGTTGTAGTCCATTATAGTGACAGTGTTGGATTATTTTCTAGTTCGTATTAGTACATTTATCTTTGTTACTATAATAATAATAAACCTAATCCAATAATTGTAGATTTGTTATGATGTGACTACTCAATCTATAAGATCTTACGTGAAAGTCAAATAATCCTCTGTACCAACTCGTCCAGTCATGGCTCAGCCATAACATACCGATCGGTTGTTCTCACGTTCACCATTGTTGACTTTCCGTGTTACATGTTAAATGCATATTTTCTCAGCAATTATGCGCTCAGCTTCAAAGATGGTTTTGTTAGAAAGCAATACCACTACAAGTTCATGATAACGGTAATGACGAATACCTTAGTACAACAAGTATCGGAACCTACACTTTTTAGTCCGAACCAAGGATTTTTGTTAGAATTCGTAATCACTCATGAAACCGAGGATATCACCCATCTAAATATTCTCTTATCACTAACACACAGTTATCATGCTGTTCCATCATTCATGTTCGTGGCTTGTGACATGATATACTGTCAGGTTAAGCATCACCCAAATGTACTGAGAGCAAACATACTGGCCATTTAAGAGCGGGTCGCAACAACAGACTGGCTAGTAAATACTAGATCAACAGTTCAGGAAGCACGACCTATATTTAAAGGTACCTTTAGTTTAGTTACTTATCCGTTTGTACCATGCTAAGTACCACATGGATCAAACAACTGTCCATCATGGATAACTAAAGAAGTCAGGAAACTACTTAGATCTTTATCTCTCCAAGTTCAGAACAGTATAGATCAGTTAATTGTAAAACTAAGAACGCTTGTAATGCGTTGGCAAGTAAGACTAAATATTCTTATGAAAAATGATTGTTTGGAGATTACAAAAATAGCCCGAAAGGGTGATAGCACTTCTATAATCCATTTTGATAAGGTTAATTTTTGTTAAGCCTTTCTATTAACTTATTTATAAGACAATGTTATTCGAACAGTAACAGTTTGTCTATTTCTTTGTATTATTCTTATCACATGTGACAGTCTACGCACATTTCTTTCTAGCTAAAATGTCAATCACTCTAACATTCCTTGATGAGTTGTTCCGTTATCGATATATATATATATATATATATATACTCAGATTTTATCCTTTGCCTTTCCTATCAGCGCCTTGATTCGATTTGACTATACATTTGCTTCTATATGCGCTCGCATATCTACACTCGCCTCTCTACTTTAAATTTGCTCGATTTATGTAATTTATATAATGAAGGAGATCAGGGCGATTTGTTGACGAAGCTAGGGAACTACACAGTTATTCTTGTACATAAAGAGGCTAATTTTGGGGAGCGATGGGATCCTACTACTTGTCCTAGAAGAAAATCTATAGACGTTGCCAAGAAATGGCATCACAAATGCCAGAGCTTTATCAGAATATCTTAGCAAAGTATTTTCTCCCTGCTATGGGGAACGACCAACAATTAATTATGATAATATCAGCTTGTCTCAAACAGGATAAGTTCGGTGGTCCTGACTATATTCATCCAAGGATTATGAAAGGCCTGCCGGATGTAATTGCTTGACCTCTAGCCATACTGCTCGAGACGTCTCCGCGGCAGCTCAGGCTTCCAAGAGACCGGAAAGATGCAACAATCAGTTCAGTGTATAAGTCTGGGAGCAGAGATTTGGTCTGTAACTACTGAACAGTTAGTCTAACTAGTGTGGTTGCCAAACTAATGGAATTGTTTAATCGGATGGCTATTTATAACTATATGGAACGGAACAATCTCTTATCGAGGGAACAACTAGGTTTTAGGGTAGGCCTTTCATGTTTGACAAATTTGTTTAATACAAGCAAAGATCGGGCTGCAGGAAATGACGAAAATATTCCTGTGGATGTAATGTTCATGGATCTAATGCCCTTGGAAAGTTTACGGATCCATTATGAAATCATATAATGAATAAATGACATTCCAAATGGTAGAGGACAGAGTGTACGGGTAAATAAGGCTCACTCAGCGTAGTAATCTGTAAAATATGGAGTTCTCTTAAGTACGATCTCCGGTCCTCTCCTTTTTTTTACTTCGTGTAAATGACCAACTGTAGCAGTCATATGTCCTACTCTTGGCCGATGATATAAAGGATTATGGACCCATGGAAAGCATGTCAGATAAAATACTATTACTGGAAGAGTAGGTGGTATTATCAGCACCTGTTGAAACATTCAAAGCCAGACTGGACCCCTACAGTGTTATAAATTTCAAAGACCAAAAGGTCGATAGAACTCCTCTCATTGCCAACAAAGATTGAAGACTAAAAACGGTCACTTAGAAAAGCCTTAGCTAAAAATTTATATTCGTTAATTTTAGTCTGAAGCATGCAATACGGCAATACGGTCACTTGCAGTTCCATACATCCAATTCGTATGGGTAGCATGCTAAATAGACCTGTAGATGAACTGAAACAATAAAACTGAGAAAAATGCTGGAGAAAATATTATCTTATTCAGGCAAATAGGATTTGAAGGTTAATCAAAACTCTGAGATTTACTATTTTTGTTCTTTTGAACTTCTGTTGTTTATATGTTCTATAACCTGTACCGTTTTTGGATTCTCAAGAACCCGGTGCACGTTATCGAAGTCGTAAGTACTGTTGGCTTCTTCTTTTGTCGGTGCCTATGTTCTCCAGTTATTTAAGTGTGCATGTCAAAATTATGTCGATTTAGGGCAATAAATAAGTCATCATATTCCAATGACTTTCTACCTTTTAATAGTGTATAACATCTTCCCTTATTATTGGTGTTACAACGCTTATTAAACTCGTAGTAACTCCCGGGAGAGTCTGAATGTATTGATTGTGAAGGATAAAAAAGACAGCAATCAAGACATTATGTTGTTGCATTCACAACACAAGGAAGTGCTGCAAAAGAATTAACAGTTCTTAAGTGCAAAAATCCTTTGTAAAACAGGAAAGCTTCACAGATAGTTCATTTGTTTTTGTTAGTGCGAAATATCGACAGCTTTTGTAAATTACAGGTTGTTCACACCAATTCTGGCATTTTCCGATCGCCCAATGCTTCCGAAAGTTGACATATAATTCATGATCCCCAAGCCCGTTTTGCTAATTACACCATCTGGCAACCTCGACCACTAAATTGCACTTTATAACGTATGTCAGCCTAGAGCAAGTGTGCATTAGTTTAAGTTACTAAGGTTTTTACTACTAGTAGGGGGGTCACTAGGCGGTGAGTTGAACCATCATGCCAGTAACCAGACGTCATATGTTGTCCAGATTAAAAAACTAGTGGGAATCCAACTGTAGTTTTCCTATAAATTCTTTATAACATGGGAACTACTTCAACTAAAATATATCTTAGATGTGTATTCAACTGAACTATTTCTTAGGTTGCGAGTTTTTTTTACCAACATTTCTATTTTATTGACTGCACTTTGTCCTTCACAATACTTTGTGGATCATACGTTTTCGTATCTAACATTTCAACGAATCCTGTTGAGTCTTATAAAACCAATAGTTCCCTGTAATTTGACTCAAAGCTAAGTTTACTAACCTAAACGTTATTGCTGTGTTTCTTTACAGACTTCATATTAAAGAAAAGTTCACTTAGTAAATCATTATACTACAATTTCCGCTAAATGACCTACACTAGTGCAGTAACCATACTCAGTGAATATACTTTGACAATGTTCAGCGCGTTTTGTCTGGTAGTCACATTTAACGTATCTTTGATATCTTTGATATGAATCTTCATCGACTGAGATGGTTGGGCCACGTGTTACGTATGCCTGAACACCGATTACCACGACGTGCAATGCTATCCGGTGTTGGGGATGGTTGGAAGAAAGTTAGGGGCGGCCAAACCAAAACGTGGCATCAGTGCTTGAAGTCACTAACTTCTAGTCTGAGCCATGTTGGTAGATGCAGACTACTTGGTTGGGGTCCGCGTGACTATCGTAACCAATGGTTGGAGACTCTTGGTGACATGGCTCAGAATCGATCACAATGGCGTCGGTGTATACACTCGGTTTCTTCCCTTAAACTAAGAGATTAAAAGCGCTTCATATCTTTCTTTCTACTAACCAATTCTTTCTTCTTGTACTATATCTCTATATGCAATCTTCCTTTTATATATTACCACCTTTTACCTAACCACTGTTATGAATCCGGTGTTCATCTTGTTGTGCTGATGCGGTATGGCAACCTGGACCGATGCACATAAGTGCATGGTTCTACGTTGTAGCTGACTGACTGACGATAACCTTTAAAAATAACTCAACGTATAAATTGTTCTTGAATATCAGTGGTTTCCGTATTTAGTGTTAGTCCCAATATTGATATTAAGTCAATTTTATCTCTCGGTTCTGTTTAGCAGCCAATTAGTACCGCTCTCATAAAAACGGGGGTTTAACATGTTTTCTGTACATATGAAATTTAACCATCAAATGACTTTCAATATTCAAGTTTAAAGTATATCCTAAGATAACTCCATAATACTATAGATATATAACTACCCGAAAATAAGAGTAAACTAAACTTCGTTAGATTATCTTACAATAGTTAATCGTCTTTCTGTTGAATTGAATAAGTTTTTATCGTTTCTAAAAAGTTGATCACTAACTTTGCATTTACAACGAATTTCATAGTTAGTGACATGTCCGCTCGAGCCAGAAAACAAAAAGCTGCGGAGTCTGAGAAAAATGAAAGTAGTCCGACATCGTTCTCTCGATCCGTTACGATTGAACGCAGCCATACATCATCAAGTGGAAGTCCTCGCAAAAGTTATTCTCGCAGTGAAAGATCTAGTAGCCCTTTGACTATTAGTCGATCTGAAGAAAAAGATGAACTTGCCCATCTGAATGATCGCCTTGCGGGCTACATCGACTACGTTCGAAAACTGGAGCTTGACAAACAAAAGCTTACTAGACGTATACAGACCGTTACAGAAGAACGAATGGTAACTAGCATTATATTCATGAACAATTCTTGCAGAGTAAAGTTGAGGAAGCCAGGAAAACATATGAAGATGAAATTACAGCCTTAAGAAACTTGGTTGATGATCTGGCTAAACAAAAGTCAAAAGCCGAGCTAGATTCCAAGCAAATGAGAGATGAGTTGAATGACGTAAAGATGAAGGCGAACAAACGAGATCAAGAGAACCGTAATTTACAGAGAAAGATAGAAAATCTTGAAAGGGAACTAAGTAAATATAAACAAGATCATGATGCTTATCAGGTAGATTGTAATAATCTTAAAATTTTATCTCACAGCCTCTCCTTAGTGACTACCATGTTTTAGAAAAACGGTTCGAAGAAATGAAACGAGACCTTGAGGCCGAGACACTACTTCGGACTGATTTGGAAAACAAAATCCTCGGTCTTAAAGAGCAGTTAGATTTCCGTTCTCGGTTATTCGATGAAGTAAGTTCGCCTTATTTGTAAATTTCTTCCAGGAACGTGAAAAGTTAGTTGAACGCAGTTTATACATTGAAGAAGAGGTCGAAGGACGCAAACAAGCTGAATACGAAAGTCGATTAACAGAGGAGCTAAGATCAATTCGAGACCAAACCGCTTCTGAATTAGAAGAGTATAAAATACAAATGGAAGAAACGTTTGAGGTACATGATCAAATTTGTTCAGTAGACATTTCCCACGGTGAAATTCTTGTTTGTTTATAGTAACAGCACTTGACTTATTGCTACTGACAACTGTCCAGATGAATTGTTTACATATTGCAAAATTCATGGTCAGGTTTCTAAATCCATGACAAAATAAACAACAAGCTATGATGTCAAAATTCATGTAGGATTTCAGTTAGACTTCCATACAATTTATTATGTATGAGTGAATTTCGAAGGCTGCTATTTCGTGTTAACTATTAGCTTTAGCACCAAATAACAATGCTGTCATGTTCAAACCTTATTCCACTCGTTATATATATATATATATATATAGTAGTTTTCAAAGCTAAATGTATACAGAAATGTTGGATTACTAAGAAGCTACTAATTCTTTACTTAATAATCCTAATTTCAAGTTATTTTTCTTGATTTTGAGGCAAATTATTTATTTTCATCATCATCGCGGAGTATAGTTCACCAACCTGTTTCTTCCCGACCTAAATTTTAATCCACATCTCACCGCCAAGCAGTGACTGACAAGACTATAATTTCTAGACAAACAAATTAGATTTAAGATAACAGATCTTGGATTTTGGCGCAAAATTCATCCACTTATTTGGCGAAATACCATTTTGGGCATTATAGTTGATGTCAGTTTGTCGTGAAAACGTTGGATCTAATTCCTAACCCCGACGTTCAGCTGTAAATAGCGATCCTAGTTCTCTGCACTAATATACAACCCTATTAGTCAGGTAAGCATTCCAAGGTCATTTTGGCGTTGCTCAAAGGTCGTTCATAGGTTATAGTCTCATCGCAGTGACCTAGTGGTTAATGTTCTGCTTTCAGTCACTGAGTCCCATGTGTGAAGCTCACCTAGCTTACTTCGTTTTAGGTAATCAGGTAGTGTCATTAACCTTAACTGTGTTTTAGCTTATACCCAAGTTCTTGGTCAATTGATTTGTATATTTTAAGACATTTCATTTTCTAAGACTCATTAGTTTTGACCAACCTCACTGATGGTAAGTAATATGGTTTAACGAGATGTTTCTACTATGTTTCAGGTGCGTTCCTTTTAACCTAGTTCACTAACAAATGCTTTATACGGAAACCAAAAGTCAGTCAGTCCAACGTGGAACTTTGTACGTACGTACATCAGTTTAAGTTGCCATACCAGGGAAACACCTTACTGCTGTCACACCCCTCTACAGTCAGTAGTACGACTTCGCCTTTAGACTTTGAGTTCCTGCTTTTAGACTTACCGTTCTCCAATCAACCTGCCTGGTATGGTAGAACCTACTGGAACATATGTTCCAGTTAATATAGCTCGGTTGGGTCATCACGATTGGCAAGCCCAACCACCACGTCAAGATAGCAGCTACAGTCGGGACGGAAATCAAAAACAGTGTCATTCAGACAAAAGTCTTATTTTCTGTTTAATTAACAAAGTGAGTGATGATTATATCAGAACAACAGTGGAATAGCGTAAAATCCATCCGAGCCCGAGTCGTTCTAGTTATGTGCTTGTACGTCCCAATGTTTCACCAATTCAATAAATTTCAGCCAGCAAATATTTTCGGCTTATTGACTAGTAGATGGAAATTTCAGCATGCATGTTTCTTAACTTTTTTTCTGTTATAGAGCAAACTGGGACAGTTAAAGTCATCAGCTAATTTTAGTGCAGAAGATGCTAGTCGCCAGCGATCTGAGCTGTTGATAGCTCGCAAACGTGCTGATGAACTTTCCCACGATTTATCCAAGAAAATCGCTGAGCTGGAGTTGCTTCAACGACGAGTAGCAGATCTTGAGCGGCAGTTAACTGATGAACGGAAAGATTTTGAGTCGCAACTTCTTTTCCAACGCCAGGAAGTAAACAGATTAAAAGAAGAATTGGAAGAAAGTTTCCGTGAATTTACCGACCTCATGAATACAAAAATTGCGTTAGATCAAGAAATATTGATGTATCGAAAAATGTTAGAGGGTGAAGAATCAAGGTAAGTGGTAGCAACCATTTCCCTCAAACTGTAAATCCAGAAGTTTCGATTTATGAGTTTTTAAAACCAGAGATTATTGGTAAATTAATGATCAGCCAATTATACGTGACGTAGGTCCTCATATAAATGTGCCTCTGTCGAAGTCCCTATTCCTCATCATAACGGTTTGAGATTATATACGTTAATATTGCAAAGTTAAACTGGGGTGTGGTTTATAGGAAACATTTTAGATGGTAGAATAAGAGTAATATATTAACATCGAGCTCAAAGAAAAGTTAAAAATGAAAGCATTATCTCCATCACTACTGATTTTCGTCAATAACTTCGAATATTACTCATGATTGTTGTGAAAATGCCGACAAGGAGGTTGTTTACACCCTTCCCGCACATGATATGATGGTTTGTCCTTCACAAAGAGCAAATTTGCTTTACGATGAATTAATTATCACCTTAAAAGGGCAAAGGGTGATCGTTGTATGTGTGAAGCATAAGTCGGTTAGATGTATCTGATGATTTGTGTCCCGAATTGAGTAGTGATGTGGTTAGACAGAGTAACCAGCCAAGATGATTGATTAAGTTAAGAAACCTCATCAATATGTATTACGCATTGTCTAACACCGTTTACATTGTCGTTCGTTGTTGGTTGATATGAAAGCAAGTTTTGTAAAGATTGTTCTCTGTCAAACTAAAACTTGTCATCTTTGCATGAAATCACTCTTGACTTGAACTGTGTTAGGAATTGTGGATTTTTGTATTATGCTCTGCGTGATTATCCCTTGAACCAGTGCTCGAGACGTTTATATGACTTGATTGAGAACTGACTGTAGTGAAGCAGATACATTCATTATTCGTAGTTTCTTTGAGACTTAACGCTGTCACTCTTTTTACTAATCGATTTCATTTGGTTTGTGCAAACTACATTCTCCATGTTGAAATCTTACTATTAACGCCACTGTTATTTTGCCAATTTCCTACCGATATCGTGGTTTAAATTATGGTAACATGAATCAGTGAATATTTGTTTCGGGTCTTATTGTTTTATGTCCCGACCGTTGTTGCTACCTTGACGTGGTGGTCGGGCTTGCCTATCGTGATGAAGCAACCGAGCTATACTGGCTGGAACAACGTTCCTCAAGGTCCTACCATGTCAGACAGGTCGGCTGAAGAGCGGTAAGACTAAAAGCAACAAACCTAAGGTCCGAAGGCGAAGTCGTCCTGCTGACTGTACAGAGGTGTGACAGCAGTAAGGTGTTGCCTTCAGACAACCAGCATGACAGCGATGCTGCCTTCCCACAAGGAGGGGTGGGGTTAGAAAAGATCGACCCTAAAAATGCACACCTCACCTTACCTCACGGATTTCCGTCTCCGGAGGTAAGGCTCTTTAAAGAACGGAGCTAACACATTAAAAACCTTCCACGAAAAGGCCGTGCGCGACCGGCCTCAAGCAGTTGTCCCTTGGGCACTGCGGTCACGCTCTCAGGTCGCTGAGACCGCCTCTAATCCAATTCCCTTTTCAGGTACCTCCAGAAGAACCCTTCCACGGTGTGGGCAACCGGGAAGTGATAACCGCCCTCATACCTCTAACAGCACCCAAGACCACTATTGTTTTATGTTGATACTGCTCAGATCATAATAGATTCAGACGATGGTAGACTTGAGATTCAATAGTTTGCAGTTGAGTTACATAATCAGTAAACCACAGTCAGGCAGTCAGTTAGTCGTCCAACATGAAGCTTCGTACGTACGTACATCGGTTTAAGTTGCCATACCACATTAGCACAGAGATGCAGTTATCGATTTAAATCCCGTAGTGGTAGAGGTAGTAAGATTATAAGCAGTAGTCAGGAAGATTAGGGTTTGAAGATGTTATTCAAGAAATATAATCCAGTGAAGTAAATTTGGAAAGAGGAAAAAGGACATGAATAATTCAGAACATTAGAATTCGGGAGAACACATAGAGTGGATGCACCTGCGTCATTGCAAACGATTTTGAGCCATATCCTTTAACGTCTCTAACCATCGGTTGCTATCGTCTCCCGGATCCCAACCAGGTAGTCGACACCTACCTACATGGTTCAGTCCACTTATCAGTGACTTCATGGATTTATGCCATATTTTGGCCTGGCCACCCTTAGCTTTCTTCTAACCTAGTCCTACACCATAAAACATCGTTCATCTGGGCAGCCGGTGGTTGGGCATAGGTAACACATGTCCCAGCCATCTCGACTAATGAAGTTTCACTACTTGATCAAGTGATTTATGCTTACCTAGTACCCGTTTCCTAACAACTGCATTACTTACTCGGTGGTCCCAGGATAGACGAACAATGCTTCGAAGACACCTATGATCGAACACTAGTAACCTACGAATATCCTCTACTCTTACCGGCCATGTTTCACTGCCATAAAGTAGAGCGGAACGAACTGCACAGTAAACCCGTTTTTTGGTTGGTAGATGGATATCTCGCCTACGCTATAAATGACGCAAGTTGGCAAAAGCTAGTCGAGCCTTCTATATCACAGCCTCAATCGGATATGCCAACATATTCAAGCATCAAGCAACCCTACTCGTTGAATACTCAAATTAGAATATTGCTCATGATCGCATATAATGACACAGATGCATCCATTTTTTGGCTTTCCTTAAACCCCGAGTTTCAAAATAATCTCATACTTTTTTCTCGATCCATATTGTCTATGGTTGACCTCTCTTACTGTTATTGATACCGTAACTTTCTACTCTGACATCTCGCTGCGCTGATGTAGTACGGCGAATTAAACCAATATGCATATCCCAGATCTTACATGTAACTGACTAATGTTAAAAGCTAGGTAAGTGGATCAAGAAATTACATCAAAACTCACTAAGTAACTAATGATCAAACGAAACCCATAATATAGAGATGTTCTTAGTATTATTCACAAAGTGACTGTGAAGGGTGGTGATAATAACATTACATTGTTGCTGGTATTATTATTCTCAGTCCTTTACAGTTTTGCTTTGTTTGTATAAGATGTGATAACTCAAATTAACGTATATTTGTACCAGGTCCTACCTTGTAAGTAACTATTTGTTTCAGTATTATTCTATATAATAGCTTTAGAAAGTTGTTATTAGTTTTTCTCATCCTATCTAACAACATTTCTGTCATTAGCATTATATAAAAACCACATAGGTGAATATTGTCGGTTGATGGAGTATATCAAATTTAATCTTGTCTTACAGACTCAACCTGACACCGGCTCCCCGTGACTCACCGTTCAACATACCGGTCAAACGCAGGCGTGTAGATGGAGATTTTGAGGGTGATGAGTCGAATGCCAGTCTAACTGGAGCCAGTTACAGTTCATCCCGAACAAGATTCGCCTACCGAGTGTCATCGACTGCACGTGGACCTGTAGAATTTTTCAAGGAACAAGATACACATGGCAAGTGGATCAAAATACATAACTCTTCAAATGATGTAAGACTAACTTGTGATCTTAAATAGGAATTTTCAGAAAGGAAAAGTAGTATGAATCTAAATAATCACTAAAAATAATGATTGAGAACTTCATATACTATACTAAGTTTACGTCAACTTGTGTTTTAACGTCCCAAAATACGTTTAGAGTCATATTTCAACCTTTGAAAACCATTTAGCTCTCTAAGGGTTCAAATTCTGAAACCACGTTTTTTTACGTCAGACTACGGGTTCAAAATCCTTCCGTGAACATAATTAATATGTTTCTGACCACTTACGTAAAACAAGCTACATTTTTCAATAACATTCAAGTGTTCCTCATTACTGCGTTTTTGCTATCAGTAGCAGACCATTTTAGGTTTAGTCTTGATAGAAATCAGCTTCGTTTAACTCTTTATAGACGCGTATTACGACGAAACAAACTTTCGATATCGCTTGAGTAATTATCGGTAGTTTTTAGATAAATTTTGGTGCATAAAAGCTTACCTGTCATGACTAAAAAAGAAAGATAAATTAAAACCGTCGTTTTGAAAGTGAACTTGATATCTGCTAGCGACTTAAAATTGGTTACCACAGCGTAAATCTATCACTTGTTTGTATGCAGTAAAAATAAGGATCTCACATAAACATGGTTTATACTTAGTGAAACCTCAATCGGCGTTATGCGCGAAAACGAAAGTGCACTAACCACCTTGTTGAGTCAGCAGTCAAACTTCACAGTCAATTTTACGCCTTAATGAATGCGTGACTTCGTGCAATTACTATGCGTAATTAAACAGCAAAAGCAGATAAAAAGTGTGACTTTGTTTCGATATTTTCATAACTAAAAATGGTTTGCTGAAGTTTCGTCAGACCACTCCCCGAATAATCATTTCCAATTCAGTTGACCCTTTCCCATACTTGAATGTCTGATCTGTCAATATCTGTTCAACGCTTTTTGTTAAAATGTGTATTCAACTATGTAACTCATACTCCATTGCGTACAAGCCACATTCTTTTCCTGACTAAGTAGATACTTTATTTCATTCACTAAGTACGGTGTCATGTACTCATCTTTGAGTCACATTGTGAAGTTTTTTGAAGATTTCATTTTCAAATCCTTATGTTTAGTGTTCTATGTGGATCTTTTAATCTAGTAGCGACATTAACGACTTTCAGCGAGGATTCAGTTAACCACTGTTATTTTGGTTTTTATGCCGTTTGTAAAGTCAGATACCGATTCCATAGTGTCCTCAAGTAGTTAGGTACACAAAACATTCTCTTCAAATCGAAAGACAAAATCTGCAATACCAGTCTTTGAGATGAAGCAAACTTTGTTAGGTAGATTTCCTAGAATTCTAGAGAAACTTTGCTGTTCATTAATCTGCATAGATTAAAAGAAGACACTCAAATTGAAGTAAATTGTTTAACTGACGTCCCCACGTTTCAAGTTTTTGAACTAAGGATCTAATCCACGAAGCAATGCAGAAATAATATAAAAATATGATGGTATCTGGCGACCGAATTAAGTATACACGCCTTCCTCCCCTTGTTATAAAGTTCAATTATATCATTGTTTTGAAATTGATATTTTCAGGCTCATATTCGTAAACCTGCCATGTTCATCAACGTGCTTTAAGTGATTGACATCCGCTCATATTTCAATGAGTTGGACTAATCTTCAAGAGATAATAAACTCTCAGCTTCATAATAACACTTTGAGAGGTAAAATTGATTTGTATCATCTTTTGGCATATAGGGCACCTAAAATCATTAAAGCAACCGCAAAACACCACAGATCATAATAAAAGTATTCCAGTTAATTTATGTGGATAATCTGTTTTAATACACATAGTTTCCTTTATTATCTTACAAAGAGCAAAAACACAGATCGGTGCGAATTTATCTCATTTCGTTAGGTTTTCATCAACTGCTTTCAAATTGACAAGATTTCAAAACCAAAGTTCTCATAAACACTAACATACTCATAGATATAAAGATGATTAGAGATGAATTCGCGTTTCATGATATAACGAATATTTCAATAGAGTTAATAGGATCATAAAAAGCTTTCTGATAAATAAAGTATGAAAGGGAAATTTTCAAAAAACATTAAACTAGTGATTAGAAATCATTGAATTAACAAACTTTAGATGATTGTATTCGGTTTGGGCACCCGGCCAGTATCAGCCCTCACACAAATCAAATGAGATTTGTGTGGCGCATATGTATTTGGTGCCTCCTTGTACCAATATTTATGTGTTAAATAAATAAAGATGATTGTGTAATGATGTAATTGAAAACAGACTAATGGTAATAATACAAGATGTAATTTGAAATCAGTCAATTATGAACTAAATAAAAATGACAATGATGTAATCAAACTGGAGAAAGATTTGAAATAATGGATAATGCAATAAAAAGGATGTTATCATGTTCGCAGGGCAAGGAAGGATTTATTACTGTTTCTTTTTGGACATATGGATCTAGTTTTCTGACGTTTGGTCACTATGGCTGCGGCAAATTTCAAAAGATCAGAGTTTGATTGTTTAATGATCACTTTGAAGGGCAGTGTGTCGACTTGATGTCCTGTGTCTAGATCTCTTGAGTTGGCACTGCTAAATGCTTTTCTGGGGTATGTTCTTTGAATCTGATGTAGGCTCCTCTCTGTTCTGTACTAATAACGTGTGGATGAAGGAATCTTTTAATGTGTACATGGTTAGTTGTTGAGGAACTGGTTCCAATTTGATCACTAATCATCGTGCAACAGTGTGATAGGGTGAATTGACCATTGAAAAAATAGGTCTAGTAGGAACATGTATCTTTGGTAAGCCATACACGTGGAGCAAACGAGCCCCATGAGGTCTTAGGTTATCCTAAGTGAACTTATCAATCATCTTCAAATCCCTGAGTACATTCTTGATTCTTTTCTGTTTTCACGGTTAGTTATTCTAGCCAGTTTACTAATTACTATCAGATTTAAATGTGAGTTTTATTGATCATTTTTGTTTTTATTAGGAAATGAGTTTAGGTGGCTGGGAACTTGTTCATGAAGCTGATGGTCACGAGACTCGTTTCAAATTTTCACGGGCTTTCTCCTTAAAACCTGGAGCAATATGCACAGTAAGTTGATTTTCGTGTTTAGGTTTTACTTCTCGGATATCTTAAAACACTGAATTTGAATTAAAATACTAACTTTTTATTTCTTGTTTCTTATTGTTATTACTAGCTTTATTCATTACTATATCTTTGATACAGAATAGATTACTCAGCACAAAGTATTTCAACAACCCGAGCTCCCAATTTTGGGGAAACTCTTGAAGTCAAATGACCTTCACCAATGTTTGGGGAAATCCCCAAAGTCAAATGACCTTTACCAAGGTTAAAGGGGAATTTGGGGGGGGGTTAGTGCTTTTCCCCCAAAGTTTACTATAGCAGCTTCCCCAAAATGGGTCAAATTTTCCCCAAAGTTGGGAGCTTGGGAAGTTTCTTTTTCTTATTTCTTGACTGATGTTGATGATAAATATTGATTGATCCTCAGTTAGATGTTAGCAACTCAGGAATCGTCATCTAATTAATGTTCATTCTTTTCAATATGTTATTGCCTACTAGCTACCACTACCATATCTCTGGTTGGGCTTTTTTGTAACTTATATAACAAAAGGTCATAAACGCAACTGAATAAGTTATGTGATTAACAGACACAATGATATATTAAAACAAACAAAAGCAGATAACTTGTTAAAATATTTAGATGACCAGAACAAGTAGCTAAGATATTGAAGCAGGTCACAAATGTACATTAGGGCTGATAATTGATGTGTCTTTCTCGGATAATAAGTTCTTCAAAAATACTTAATAATCCTATATAAAAATATATATTTCTTGTTTACCTAAATTCCTTTCTTCTTTTACTTTGTTAAGATTTGGAGTCAAGATGCTGAAGGCAATTCACACAATCCTCCTGCTGACTTAACTATGAAGAATAAAAGTTTTCATCCTGGCACTGATGTCACAATTCTATTACTTGATGCAGATGGTGAAGTAAGTTTTTTTTTGTTTGTTTATAAATTATCATTCTATCAGTCAATATTTACTATTATTTTTGTTCAATCAATAAAATTATAAAGTGATTTTGTTTAAATAGTGAAACATGTTCATTCCTGTTACTATCCAATTGATTTTTGTTTATTTTAAAAAAGTAAACATGTATGTTCTTGTTTCAATATATATGTAAACACCATATTATGAACTCTTTTTGGTTTTTTGTTGTTGTTGCTATGACTAAAAAAAAATGCACTAATTATTTTTCCTAAGTGTTAGTTAATAGGTCAAACATTTTAATTTGGTTTCAATAGATATTCTTATTTAGTTTTTATTCATTTATCGGAAGTTGAATAGACCAATGTTTATCTTTTTTTTTATTTGTTACATTTTATTACCAAAAGAAATCAACATTATTCCTTTATACTGTTGTGATTGATTGAAATCAATTTTTTTTTTACATTAAACTAAATTCCATTTTATTTAGTACACAAATTCTCTTATGACTAGATATTTGAAAAAGTATATTTGCCACACAAAATAGACATATAATATTGTGAAGGTTGGTAAATCAGTTGATAAGTTTGTGGATCTTCATCAACCGAGATGGTTAAACTACATGCTACGTATTTCTGAACATCGATTACGACGTTGTACAATGCTGACTAGTGTTGAAAATGGTTGGAAGAAAGTTATCAGCGGCCAAACCAAAACGTTTCATCAGTGCTTGAAGTTATTAACTTCTAGTCTGAGCCATGTTGGTAGATGCAGACTACTTGGTCGAGGTCCGCATGACTGTCGTAACCGATGGCTGTGAAGATTGAGTGATTTGGCTCAGAATGGATCACAATGGCGTCGGTGTATAAACTCTGTCTCCCCTTAAACTAAGAGATTAAAATCGCTTCATATCTTTCTTTCTACGAACTAACACTTTCTTCTTGTACTATATCCTTATATGCAATCTTTCTTTTATATACTATCACCATTGAATTAACTACTTCTATGAATTTGTTGTGCTAACGAGGTGTGGTAACTTGGACCGATGCATATTTGTGCCTGGTCCTACAATCAATATGGTTATAAATAGTACGTAACATGAAAAACAGTCCAGTTAAAAATACAACCAATAAAGATATTTCAGTTAAAGTAGTTCTCACTTCTATGAATAATGTATGGAGAAACTATAGCTGAATTTTCACTGACATTTGTTTTGGACTATGTTTGATAACATCTCGTCACTAAACTATACTGTCTCTGTCACAACCCGACTACTTCTATGCGTTCCCTAATTAGTTACAATGTCGGGAATTTGTGCAATATCTGAATTACTGAGATGTTATTCGTAATACATTTCCATGCTCTGAAATTCAATAGTTTTATATTTTTAAATTGATTAAATTAGTTGAATGGAATACCAAACCTCAGCGATTTCGCTAGATGTCTGATTGTCTACGAGGACAACAATAATCTAGCAAAGACTCACTGAATATCTTTCACATGGATGGGTTAGGTTTCACGAACATGAAGCAGAACTGTTTACTAGAAACGTTATATACTTCACCTATCACCATATTCAGTGGGTTCAAAGTACATGTACATTGATTGCCAACTGATAATATCTATTGGCAAATATTTCACACTGTCATACTAGGAATCTTAATCACTAGTTCATCCTAAATACTACAGTCTTGCTATGAAATAAATAAAGATGAAACTAGTTGCCACCGAATTAATTTTTTACATGTTACTAAGCCATTACTAAAATCAATTCAGTTTTTGTAAACGATAATTCGTGGTATCTTTTGTCACAAAAAGAAGCAAGAAATCTAGATATCTTACTTAAACCACTCATATTTATTATGAATTCTGTGTCATTCCTTATATTTCTTCTGTATATTCAAATGTTTATCATTTGGTCATATCTTGTTGCCTTTATCGTCAGTCTTCTTGGAAGCTTAATTAATGTAAATGTTCACAGAATAAGAAGAAATTTTGATCATTAAATTGTAACTGGACATGAAAAACTCTGTATTATATAGTGTTAAATATCTTTGTGGTTAGATTTAATAGTAATGATTATTTGAGAATTTATATATATATATGTCTAATTGTATCATTTTCATTTAAGGAACAAGCCAAATGCACAGTTAAACGAGAAAAAATTCGTCCTGGAGTTAATTTTGATCGTAAATCCGGTGTTCGTGCTCATGATGAGGTTAGTGTATTAATATTATGTTTAATTTCAGTTAATAATAATTAATTATATTGTAATTATGATTGTTGTCGAAATAACTAATTAATATAGGTTATCATTATTCGAATACACATATACCTTATCTTAAATCTGAATAACATGAATCGTGTCATGCTTTAGAGCATGATTATCGAGTTTAGTGAAATAGATTTCAAATCAGCAGTGTAGTCGTGTTAAATGTCAGTAAACTATAGTTTCGTTATCCATATATTTTACAACATTTTATATCGCAACTTTCTTGGATTTATTGTATAACCTTTAAGAATTCGCATTGATTTCTTCGTATATTGTTAAGTTTCTGAATATGCATTCACCATAGGTGCTTGATTACCTATCTCTATTATTATTATTTATTATTTAATCACATAAACTGGTACAAGGAGGCATCAAATAGATATGCGCCACATAAATCATTCGATTTGTGTGAAGACTGGGGTACTACACAAGGTGCCCAAACCGAGACAGGTGGTTTTCTTAGGGGGGCACACCCGGAGCCTTTAACCTAAAGGTCTGATCCACAAAGGAGTGGAGCAACAAAAGGAGATGCAGTCCCATAGTAACCAGTGACTAACAATTGTTTCATACGCCTTTCGTTTCCTTGGGATCCTGGGGCCCATATGCACCATTGGTTTGGAATCAGGGTTTCCCGATTCCCCTAGGTGAATTCTCCGTGTCCGCCGACACGTTTAAATCTCTGGACATTCGCTATTCGTCCTCTCAATTTCGTAGACAACATACTGTTGCGAGGCTGTGGGTATGTGAGAACAAATCGAAAAAGATAGCTGATTCTCATTTCTCTCGGCAGTACCAGGGCATTTGGGGGCTACCTTCAGTCAATTTCAAGTTATTGCCTTACAGTAAGGTAGTTTCTTTTTTCCTTAAGTAACTCATTTTTTCGCAGTGGCCTATCGGTCGAAGATACATATATAACCACATCTATGCACCTCACTATGTTTACTTAGAATGGTGGAGCAGGGGGTTAATGTTTACAGTACTCAACATGTTTTGGTTAATAGATCATGGTTCTAAACACTATCCCACCTAATTTATTTAAGCAACCGGGTAGCATCTTCATAATGTATGGCTATAAAGCGAGTAAATATTTAGTAAAGAAATTAATTATTAATTAACGATTTTAGGCTCCTAACGTAAAATCCCTTGGTGCATACTTTATAAGCGTAAAATATCTCTTATGTTTAGTCATTGTCAGCACTGGTATTGTCACTTGAACTGTTATAAACCAACTTTACTTATTGTATTATTGATCTACATTGTTTTTTGTTTTTATTTCTTCTCATTAACACAGAAATGTCATCTTATGTGAAATGTGCTCTATTGAAGATAGATGACCTACATTATTCTTTGTTTTCCCTAATTGTATTAACTTTCTAATTAATATCAATTTTATAACTGCATTTTACTAATTCTTTGTTCTTTTGTGTTAACAAAACAAGTTATATAGTTTTTTTTCTTCTATATGCTATCTGCTTGACTATTCACCTTTTTTTTATTTCGCTGACGCTTTGTTTAATAATGCCAACTGGTCATATGCTGTTGTTGTACCACGATATCTTCGGGAGGTATGTTATTGCTTTTCGTTTTTATATCTACATTAACAACAGCAAACATGTTGCCTTGTCATATATCGTTGCTCCATTCTACGGTCTCCTTATCTGCATGCTATATATATACGTACACACGTTATTTTCACTGTACTGTTCGCTCATACTGTTGTATTCATTGTATTTTCATACCTGATTCATGCTTATCATCATATGCACTTATATTATAAACCAATACATTCATTTGTTGTGTAATCATTGTTTCTCGCCGCGTTTTTTATATACACTAACTATATTTATGTATAATGGACAAATCTGTTGTGTTCATTATTAGGTTCAGTTCTCCCTAGTTATCGGTGTATCGTGCTATTGGAATCGTTTGGAGTTTATTTGAGTTCTAGATTTAGCGCCGTGCACCTCATCCCTGTCTCGATTGTTATGAATTTTTCCCACGTATCTGATAATGGTTCGCAGTTTGAAAACTATTGAAGTGGATGGATGAGATGACTTATAATGTTACAGTTTATTCGATTTGAACTTGTTCACGTGACCATTAACTAGAAGTATGTATTGTAAGTTAATCGTCGTAGATCAATCCGATCGATATAATCTAGAGGTATATTTTATATCAAACCAATTCGTAGCGGATCTTAGGACATTGCAGTCGCTTCTCAATATTGAGTTCAAAAGCGGTTACCTATCTGATATGGCGAGCCTAATCTATGACAATAAGAAACGACCTGAAGGAAAAGTGTATTCCATTGGCTAAAGAATGAATTAACTTCCCAAGGGATAGGGTTGTATATTTATAAGTGAAGATTTGTGCATTTTATTCGGAAAACTGACACATCCTTGGGCACAATTCTACCAGCTATAAATTCAAGGAGTTTCCCACGTTAGCCCGTAGTATGTGTTTCTCGACTTGCTGTAAGCAATAGTTCTGCTCCATGCTGTCGAGTGAACTGCTCTCCCCCCAATATATTTTGCTGGGGCTCCAAACGGTCAGCCTTAAATGTCGTGGTTGACACACATTATTGGTATTCAACCTAAGTGTAAGCTTCTGCGATTCAAGAACTTACTATGGTATAACGTTTGTTATCACTAGCTATGAAGCACAACTGATCAGTAAGTAATAGACTGAAATGTCTGCAAACCTTTAGCGTCACGAAACAAGACTACTACTTCTGACAGGCTTTTTGTCTTATATACACGGCAGCAGTACACTCAGATGCCAAAGTTTCGTCCTCGATGTATGTATACAAACTACCTGACTTCTAACATCCCAGCTTCGGAGGCAAAATATATGTTCATTATTGTGTCAAGTACGGCTTATTTAAAGATACTCTGTCAATTATTTGAGGATTGATTGTGGAAAGGTTAATGAACAGAAACAAATCTCTTCTGCGGTTTTCCATGTTCAATTATTGCGGGGTTATTTAATTTAACTTGTCTGCTGAAGTTGGAAATAATGAGACGACATTTCACCGGCAAAATGCTTGAACTGATCCAATCATTGAGTATCCCCTCCTGGAACTTGTCTAAAGAAGAATGCTGAGGTGCACACTCGTTATTTACTCTGAACTACTGCACTAACCTGCTCATTGTTCTGGTAATGTAGTCCGCCCTCTAAACATATGTATGTATTTCACAATAGAGTATCTACAATCAGAATGAAAAAATAGAAACTCGAAAATATTTAATCCTAATGAAGCAAGACTTTAGAAAGACCGTCCACGTGTATTAGTAGTAACACTAATTCCCAATCATGGTTAAGCATTCACGAAGTAGACAAAATCTCTTCGTAATTATAATAAATGTTATAGTAGTTGAAATTCTTCCTCTCCGTGGTTATACTTCCGACCCTTCAGTTAGCCTACTGATGCAATCTAAATTGAATGTCAACACATACGGCCGGCACACCTATATTAAATGAATTTTCACTTGAACCAGAGATCATATTTTCCGCAATATTGGTTGTTTTTCTATTTGTGAGCACGGAGATGGCCCGTAAGTTAAACTGTTAACGGATGGTCACTGCTACGCATCATAACATGGCTTGTAAAGGAATCTCTATACTAACTCATTCTTCAATTTTAGTCCCACTTTGTTCAGCGTCTAAATAATCTCCACGTGGAGTTTCACTTTGAGTACTGAACTAACGATCTTAAAACATGCTGTGTATTCCCTGATCAGTTGCTGCCGTCTTTTTTATTTATCTTTGAGTTTACCAAAACCCGGAATATTCGCGTTATTCTCATAGTGAATTAAGGCGCGTGATAATGCCACTCGATTTTGTGTAGAAAAAACGTCACGTTGATTCTGATAGGGGACAAGTTTACCAATATTATTTTCCAATCACACGTTTTTCCAGAGTAGACTGATAAAATTCACGTCCATCAGGTCACAGATTGTCACCACAGGAAGAATTGATTTGAATGGCTTGATTCAGCCCTGTAGCCGTGGTCATTTCGTGCCTCTAGGTAACCCTCGTGCTATTGATAGAAGGAACCAGACAAGTGGTGAATAGGTCTTTATTTAGATCTTCGCGCAGTCAGTGGGGTTTGGGACTACTTGCCCAGACAAACAATACCTTTCAACATTCAATATAAGATAATAGGAGATATAACGCCTATACAAAATAAGGAAGTGAGTGAGTACTTGTACTATACTGTTTCGACATATGCTTAGTTGTTTGGGGTGAACTCTTAACCAACCAGCCTAGGCTGTCACATTAGCTTCCCCTTAGAATCGACCTTTGTAGGAACGTCGGTTCGATTAACCTATCTATCAAACACACCTTAGTTCTGTTTTCTCAGCTCAAGGGAAAATTATCAACTCGCTCACTGTTTGACCGTCAATCAATGACGACTAACTCCGTCAGCAATTAACGATAGTCCATGGATGTCTCTTCATTTGCTGACTTGTCATCTTATTTTGTAGCATATGAATTCTTCTAAAACTATCGCTGACGGTTTGCTACGTGCTCGCAAGAGAATGTGAGAATGTGGAACAAGAAGATCTGAGGAAGTGTCGCGAGCAGGCTACTTAACACAATGTTCGTGAGGTACGATTTTTCCGTGTTCAGACTGGCTATCAGGTGTTTACTCACTTGCATATTGAGTCGCCCTCAAGTGAAAAGTAAAGAAGAAGAATTACGAGGACCAAGTATATTTGTGTCAAATACCCTTTCCTGGTTTGATTTAGGTATGCATGATATACTGAAGCGATATTTCGACAATTCATCCAGGTAACGAATCGGTCTGCACCTTAGAAGTGTATAAGTTCCATTACTCATTGATATTATGAATGATTAATCGGTGTAAGGAAATATTGTAGTCATTTCACACACGGTCTGATTTGATCTGTTGGCTAAGCTCGCGGTTCAGCATTAAGTAGTGCAGAGGTTCGATTGCGTGTGAGGCCTGCGCTTTTGTTCACAAAACCCCCTTACATACGATGTTTCTTGCCCGTAAGTCGCTCAGATATGAGGAAAAATGACAAGAGGACAGATTGATATGTCAATATGCCATATTGGCACAGTACAAGTCCTTTGTTTATATTAATAATAATACTATAGAAATACTACAAGTTTGGTAGATTTCCACTTTACGTTATACTTAAGCCAACAAGTAAAAATATAAGTTATTGACATAACATGTTTTTTTATAACTCTAGTGTTAAGTTCCAGAATTTTGTATGGAACACTAGTAATAATTGGTTTGACGTGGGTATAACCATGGTAGTCATATCGTTAGTTCAATGTTATAATTACTTAACAGTTCACTTATAAGTTGTGTTTAAAATTAGGTATGTGGAATCAATGCAGCTAACATAGTAACCTTACAGGTAACGTACTGTACTATATCTTCCCAGGTAATGATTCTGGAATGTCAGAAATTAAAAAAATCTAAATGATGCCAATAAAACTGGGTTATATGATTATATTAAAAAGCATGCTGCAGGAAAACTGGTCAACTGATTGCATAATTTTTCTAAACATGAAAAACATGATGAGAACCATAGTCAGTACTTGACCATGGTTTACTCCAATATATTTTGTCTAAAAACCACTTATTCATAGTAGTATCGATCGTGTAAAGCTACTGAACATATCTTCAACCGAAAAACTTTTAGAAGTAGTTCATATAGTATATATATAGCCAGTCCAAGTGAAAAAAATGTACATAAAGTACTGCAAACATAGTTAATTAACCAGAAAAAGAAATTATAAAACTCGCCTGGGTTGCTTTTTGAATTCGCCGTCATTGCCAGGGTTAGTTGTATGGCTTCATAGTACATGCTCACAGGGGATATTTTTCTGTTTCCCTCCAACCTTTTGGACTTGTCTCCCTTTATGTGTTTTCGATTAATATCACTCAGCAATTGTTAAGTAATACCTAGCTTATATATCCAGTATTAAAAAAAATTTAACATAACACTTATATATCAGAAGTAAAAGATCTGGGGAGTTGTGGGTAGTATGATATCTCAAAATACCTTTTTTGGAATGTCTTTGTTAATTAAATAAAATAGGGAGCTGTTACAGTCATTTTATATAATTCATACCTTCCCACATGAAATGTATTATCGTAGCCTCAACTGGAATATGGTGTTCAGAAGAACTAATCTTTTTATTACTAGTTGTCACAGTGGGGTTAGTCAGTATATTTGATGATGTGCCTTATAGATTAGGTAGTCAAATCTACGATTGTGGTCTTAGGTCTATTGTGGTAACGAGAATAAGTGAATTGGACAATTATTCATCACATTCACTAATATGTGATAGTCGTTTTATGGAATTATACATGGTAGATAAACTGCATGTATTTATAAGAATTCTTGATGAAGCTGTCGCTTGTTTTGACGTACTAGCACATGCAAATATGTTCTATCTAGTACTATATCGACATTTCATGTGTCGGTAGACCTGGTTATACATTCTTTTCGAGATACTGTTGACCTTATTCGCTAATTAACCCAAACTGTTTTTGTGTGAGTGTATGTATGTTAATTGCTTTCATTATTTATTACGTGTCCATAAGTTTATGTTTTCGACCAGGGCAGGTACAAGCCATTTTTACAAATACGATTTACAAATTATTACATTAGTTTAATTAGAGTATGCTTCCCAAGTAGGAAATAATATACGTAAGTAGCAGTACATTCGTGCGGATTTCTTCGAGCGTTAATGAGTAGGATTATGCTTTAGTAACAAGACGCAATCGGTCAAATAGATTTGGCTCACTTGTCTTCTCCG